CATATTTGATCATTGTTGGTGTTTTTTTGTTTAATTGTGTGCGGAAAAAAAAATGAACTAATGAGCCTCATAAGGGTCTGTTTTTTTGGCAAAAGAGCAGGTCCAGGTAATTAAGTGGAGGTTCTGTAACCCTCAGGAGACATTTAAATGCCACTCTACCCTTAAAATGTACCAACAGCAACCATTTTACCTTTCCTATTCACTCCAAAGCAATTTGGCAAAAGGAAGAAATTTCACAAATATCTCAAAATTTTTACTAAATTTTCATAGAAATTTTGGAGAAATTAGAACCCTTAGGGGGTTATTCACTAGAGAGCCGAAGGATTCCACCGTAGCTTCGGCTGATCCTTCGGCCGGATCTGCCCTTCGGTTCAGTCGAACCGAAGGGCTGCTATACGGGCTATTCACAATAGCTCATGCAGCAGCCGAAGGCAGCCAAGCGGCTCAGCCGAGCTGAAGGCATATGCTTCAGCTCGGCTGAGCCGAAGTGACAGCCGAAGCGTGGAGAAAGGTCGTCCGAAACTGGGGGGGAAGAAATGACCGGCTGGCTCCGCCCAGTTGTAATGACAGATCAGCATCCCCAAATGACCTGGGGATGCTGATCTGCCATTAAACAATAACAACTGGGCGCAGCCGGCCGTGACATCATGGCTGGCTCTGCCCAGTTGTTATTAATTGGCCGGGACCTGCTAGAAGACTCTGGCAGGTGCCGGCCAATAGGAAACAGTTGGGGCGCAGCTAGCTTTGCTCAATTGTTTTTCTTTTGCCGGCATCTGTGAGATGCTTCATTATGCGGCGGGAGTTCGTTGCATGTGGTCGGGTCGGCATGCAGCATTTAAAAAAAATATTTTTTACTTTTTTACTTTTCTTTAGAATATTTGTATTTATTTCTTAATTTTCCTATTTTTTTACATTTTTAAAATTATGTTACCGAGCAGAATGCCGCTCGGCGGCATTCGGCTATTCACTCACTGCTGTTCGGCCCCTTTGAGAATAGGGGCGAACAGCAGCAAGTGAGCTGCCGGAGTTTCGGAACCTTCTGCACTTCGGTGACCGAAGTGCAGTCAAAAGCAGCCGATGTACGGCTGATTTCAGCTGATGTACTGCTGAAATCAGCCATACTGGTTCACAGTGAATAGCCAAACGTTGTTCGGCTCACTTCACTACGGCTCAGTTATTCACTTGACTGCCTTCGGCAGCTTTGTGAATAACCCCCTTAACTCTCACTCATCCCTACTGGGAAACATCCAACCTTTGGCCTGGTAAAATGCACCATTCTGGGGCACAGACTGATATAATCCCCAGACGATGGACTCTCCCTCTTTCTGATTACGCCTTCTTCTACATCTTGTGCGGTTATGTAATAATTTTTGTCTTGTTCCGATAACAAACAGAAGAAGTTTGCAGTGTGCAATCATCTTTTCTTTGGCCGAATTTCATGTGAGAAAACAAATAAGCTATTTGTCATGCACTATTTGTTCTGAATGAGTTAGTGGAATATAAATATTTAAAGGATAACTCAAATTATTAGTTCAATTAGTCACAGGCTGCATCCTAACTGTTTGACCTGAGTTAAGTTTTAATGTTAATTGCAAAGCTGAAATACCTACAGTATATTTAAGCTGTGTCACCTGCTAAAGGATTTGTATTTATGTTAATTTAGTCCTAGATTTAATGAGTTGTTTACAGCAGGAACAGTTTGGTGACCTGACTTTTCTCAACTGTAGTTATATAATAGAATTTGGTCACGACCCACATTCTGTGTACAGTGAAAGAGCAGCAACAGACTGATGACCTTATCCTTCTGTTCTCAGCATGTTCCTTGTAAGTTCATATACTGTACATTCAGCACAGCTGATTGGCTCTTAATGCTGCCTCTCCTTCTCCTAGTCTGTGATCTTCTGTACAGAGGATTACATCTGAAATCAAGACAGTTTCAGATACTTAGGGGTCGTTTCACAAAGCTGCCGAAGAATCCAGCCGTAGCTTCGGCTAGCTTTGGTTGCGACTAAACCAAAGGGCTGCTGTACGAGCTATTTACTATAGCCCATACAGCACCTGAGGCGGCTGAGCAGCTCAGCCGAGCCGAAGGCATTTGGTTCGTGTCAACTGAGCCGAATTGTGTCAGCAGATGCGGGGCGAACGGCCAGCCAAAGGTTGGCCTTTCGCCCCCCCCCCATGACAGCTGGACGGAGCCAGCCGTGATGTCACGGCAGGCTCCGCCCAGATGTAATGACAGATCAGCGTCCCCAAATGACCTGGGGACGCTGAACTGTCATTAAACAATAACAACTGGGCAGAGCCGGCCGTGACGTCACGACTGGCTCCGCCCAGTTTTTATTCATTATCCGGGACCTGCTAGAAGACTCTAGCAGGTGGTGGCAAATAGGAAATGGTTGGGCGGAGCTAGCTGTCACTGCTGGCTCCGCCCAATTGTTTTGTTCTTTTTGCTTTTTAAAAAAATCTGTATTTTAAAATCTTTCAATTTATTTACATTTTTAAATATTTTTTTCAACTTTTTTAAAAAACTATTCTCATTGATTTGCTATTCTGCTTGGTACCACATTGTTCAGCTCACTTCACTACAGCTTGGTTATTTACTCGGCTGCCTTGGGCAGCTTTGTGAATAACCCCGTTAGACTAGTTCAACCCTTTCTCTGTCAGATCTGTTTTTACATTTTTGGACACGTTAAAATGCACATTTTAGGCCTGAAGATTACTTAAACGCCTCTCCTTGAATTATATATTTACTGAAAGCAGAGACCCTGTACAATAAAATGACGGCAGTTGCAATTTTTATGTCACATGATATTAGCTCAACTATTTAGCAAACCCAAATTTTCAGTAAAAAATATGCTTAAATTAATTTTAGTGCAGATAAACAAATTTTTACTAATTTTTGGTAAAATATATGTGATAAAGTTGCCGCGAGCACAGCTGACCTATATTGCATGTATGTGTTTTTGTATTTGTTTAATTTAAAAAATGTGTTTTTGTATTTGTTTAATTTAACTTTATTTTTTTATTTTACTTAAAGGGACATTAAACCCTCAGATTTTTTTTACATAAAACAGTACTGTAATGTGCGCCTTACTGTAATCCATGGTTGTTTCCCTTCTCTTTGCTGCTCTTCCTTTTAAATCTGTATCTGTTCTCATGCTGGGCAGAACTTCTGTTTTGCAGCAGACTGCCTTGTCTCTGGAATGGATACATGGTGTCTGTGTGTAGGTTTGCAACCTGAGCCAGCACTACACGAAGAGGCACTCAGCTGCAAAGGGAAGTTCTCCCCAAGCATGAGAAGACACGAGGATTTAAAAGGAAGAGCAGCAAAGAGAAGGGAAATTGTCATGGATTACAGTAAGGAACACATTACAGTATTGGTTTATGTTAAAAAATCTGAGGGTTTAATGTCACTTTAAGTCAACTTTACTTAACTTCTTTGCTATTAGATTGTAAGCCCTCATGGGCAGGGCCCTCCTCACCATCTTCTCTTGAATTGTATTGTGATTGTAATGTCTTCTATATGTCTTATATTGTAAAGCTATATAAATCCTGTATAATAATAATAATTACATAGGGGGCTCACAAACCCCTAGGTAATAGCATGTTAGTCGTGGCAGGTTCTCTTTAAGGAGACATTTAGGGGTCTATTGTCACCACTGTACTCCAATGAAGCTAATCAGCACAGATTATGAATTACTGCTCTGAAACTGGAAGTGATGAAAAATCATTTCTGGCTTCATTCAGCACAGGGGTGATGAGCGAACAGATGTTCACTGATCGTTCTCTGCCCCACCTGCCATGATGGTCCTGGGCCTGCAGGAGGAGCATAAGAACGTATTAATTTCATGTGCTTCTCAGCTCCATCTAGTGACCATATTGTTGTATTTTTCTGATATTACACTCCAAAATATACTAATAACGTTCATTTCCTCCTCCATTTTCACAAAAGGAATGTACACAGAGATTCACAGGACCAATGAGTCTTCACATTTTTTTTATAAATACACCCCTTAGTATCATTTGTATGTATGGATTTTTCCTTTTTTATGTGTATTTGCTCATTCTTTGCATAGTTTCACGCTTTTTTTATTTTGTTTCTTTTGTTCCCACTCTCTCATGATCCTTTCTGCCTCCATTTGCACAAAATAATGTACTCAGAGTTTCACAGGACCAATGGTTCTTCAATTTTTTTTAAATAAATGCACCCCTTAGTGTTATTTGTGTCTGTGGGTTTTTCCGTTGTTGAGTGTATTTGATCATTACTTGCGTACTTTCACCTTATTTTTTTTCTTTTGCTCCCACTCTCTGTATATTCTTATTTATTGAGACAAATGAGTTGCAGTTTTTTGACACAAGAATGGCCCAAGTTAGTTTAGATGATATTCCATAACCTTCAGTAGATATTTAAAGCCCATTTCACCATTAAAATCACCAAAAACCACCTTCATTTCACCTTCCACATTGCCTCCAATGTATTTCCAGATTTATAAATAATTGTAATATATAAATAAATATAAATGTGCAGCCGACACTGGAGCGAGTGTGCGTGGACAGGAACTGGCTAGATAACATCAGCAGTACTGAGATGGAAAAAAGGGATGAAAAACCATAATTATTCATGATACACAATGCTTTAGAATAAATGCCATTTAACAAAACAACAATCTCAGTACATTTCTGGACACAAAAAAGGGAGGGACATATTTATAAAGAACGACAGGACATTCGGCATCTAAACATGCTTTATTAATATACATAATGGCGATCCTCAAAGTTGATCTGTGCTTGGCAGCCTGGAGGGTTCGGGCAGGGCTGTGTTGTGGTTAAAGTGAATTATAGTTATAGTAGATGTAATCACATTAGGCCCAGGGCAGCGAGCCTGAGCAGATTAAATACTTGTAATGTCATTTGGCAGATGCCGTTCTGTTAATCTGTTACCTTGTATAAATTCTGCTGTTGGGGACGGGCGCAGTTTGGTCTTCTGATGTCGCTCAGTCATGGGTCAAGTGGCCTCCATGCCACGAAAATGTGGCACCTACGTCCTGGAGCTGCATGAATGGTATAGGTAATTGTTTGTATACATTTCGCCTGGTGTTTGTAAATTGTGATGGCAAAGCTGGGTCGAGTCGGGATGGCAAATGAGAGAGATGTATCTACCCTACAGGAGTTTATAATGAGGAAAGGGTGTCTGCGCCTTTTGAGCCCTCGGGCACAAGGGCTCTAAAACTGCCTGAGTACATTGTAAGTTATGCAGATCACAATAGGATTTGGCAAAAAAAAAATATTTTTCTTTAATATTTCTAGAGCAGCTGCCTTTGCGATGTAGATTGCAGAGGCCATGAGCACCCAAAAATGTTTGTAATGAACTTTTGGTTCCCCGTTTACATTTTCCATTGAAAGTGTGTATTTTATATATCTGTTTGATGAGCGCAAAAAAATACCTGTTGATCCTGCCGATAATCCAGTGAGCCGATAATTTATTGTGCACTCCGACTGTTAGCGGCAAGAATTGTTCCCTGTTCTCCCCATGAACTACAGAACACCTCCCTCTATGTTGTGGAGATGCTCCCCTCTTAAACCTCTGATTATCAGAAGCAGTTTTGACATTTAATATCCTTTCCTGTCACAGAGATCCCCAATGATGTGTCATTTGTTTTAAAATTTTTATCCAGAGTTCTGCATTAAGAATTGCTAAGCTGCAATATATAACAATTTTGCTTTTGGGTTTTGTAAGCTTTAAAGTTGGAGGAAGGATCGATTTTAGCTTAGTTAAAGGTGTGAAGGTTTTATGTGAACCTATGGCCAGGCTATGGACATTCACGTATTTACATATTCTTAAGCATTAAATCAGATTTAAAACAAACCCTCACTGACCTTTGTAGCTGTATGTACTTTGCAGAAATTCATCCTTTGCTGTCTGTGTCCCGGCTGCACACTCTCTATTTGGCCGGCTGACCATTGTCAGTGGCCCAAAAAGTGATAGTAGATCCAAAACTTTACAGTTGTCACTAGAACAGAAGGAAAACCTTCCAAAGAGGACACATGCACAGAAATGTCTAAGAGGAGATGCATCTCATTTTGGAGAGATTTCCTCTCACTTCCTGCTTTATCGCCACAACAGAAAGTGAAGAAAAATCCTTTCAATGGGAAACATAACAAATCTGGCAAGGGTTTTAACCATTTCACCCCATATGGCTTTAGATCGGGGTAGGCAACCTCAGCACTCCAGCTGTAGTGAAATTACAAATCCCATTATGCCTTTGCCTGCGGGAATCATGCCTGTGCCGTTAGAGTCTTGCAATGCCTCATGGGACTTGCAGTTCTACAGAAGTTCGAGTGCCAAGATTGCCTACCCCTGCTTTAGACATATGCAATTATGAATAGGGATGCACTGATACTAGTTTTTCGGTATTGAGTACGAGGACCAATATTTTTCCGGTACTTGCCGATACCGGAAGTACCATTAAGGCAGCCGGGCAGCGTGTAATGACTCGCCGCCCGGCTTCCCTATTAGCCGGGCTTTGTGTAATGACTCGCCACCCGGCTTCCTGATTGGCCAGCTTCCTGACCGATCAGGAACATGGAGCCGGCTTCCCTGCCAATTAGAAAGCCGGGCAGTGTGTAATGACTCAACGCCCGGCTTCCTCATACCGGAGGTTCCGGTATCGGGATAGTATCGGGAGCATTTGTGCGAGCACAAATACTTGCCCAAATATTTGGTATCGGCACTGATCCCATTACTAGTATCGGTATTGGTGCATCCCTAATTATGACATATGTCTTGAACAAGGTAAGAATTTTTGGTAATGCAATCCTCACAATAGACCGATGTCACCAGAAAATTCATCTGCTGAACATTTTTTTAAATCTGTTTTCCATCATATAAACTGCCGGTAGCGGTCAGTTTTCATGAGACGACTATACCAGTCCCAGTTGAGACTTTCCTTGGAAACATTGTTTCGTTTCCTCTGTTGTCTCAAGTCTTGTGAGCCTGACTGAACACTCGCTGGGGGTTATTCCAATCGATGGGGAACTCCCACAGTGAGATCTACCCATAAAATTGTTTTGTGTCCTCCAGCAATGCCCAAAGGAACAAAATTATTGGGGCGTTTGTCCTTCTTGTAATGGCCTCAGGGTGTCCTTAGCCTTTTGCTGCCTGATCCGAGCATAGGCCTGGCAGGGCCGGAAAGGCCCTGCCAATTGAAGAAAAACACAACAAAGGATTTTGACAAGTCCTTTATTGTTAAAAAAAAACCCACAAAAGGGATCCACCGACGTAATCCAGGGTCAATCACAACGTCCAGCGCTGTCCACGACGATGACAAATCGACGAAATAAAAAAAAATAAGTGGAAATAAAAAAATAAAAAAACAGACGACGGGACAATCACTCGTGACAAACACCCGTTGCAGAATGGCATTTTGATAAATGGCGGTAACATATAAACATTTGGGCAGAGCTAGCAGTGACAGCTAGCTCCCCCCAACTGTTTGCAGTTGTGACAGTTGAGCCAATCATGGCTTCAAAGTTCTCTGTGCCCTGATTGGGCAAAGTCTTACACCTGACCTGTGGTCAGGTTCAAGGCTTTAGCCAATCAGGGCTCACAAGGTACAGTGCCTTGTGCGGGATGATCGGCGGGAAAATAGACCGCCAAACACCCTGACAGTTCGTGTGTTTACCGTTCGGCTCGAACAGCGAACCCAACGCTACTCCCCACCTGGCTCTGAAATGCTCTGGCTAGAAAAGGTTGCCTCATTATAGGGATGGCCATGAATGGCCTTAATGGGTCGGTAGAATTGGGGTGAGTTGGAGATTACTCCAGTAAAGTCCGTCTCTCCAGCAACTGCCCAGTAATGAAATAATATTAGTTGTGAATTGACTGCAGGCCCGGCGCTACCGCAAGGCAAGGCAAGGGGCCACCTGAGGGCGCTGCAGGGTGAGGGCGGAAAAAACAGGGCATTAGGGGTCCTAAGGTAAGTGAAGAAAAAAAAACATGCTGATAGGGAGCAGGCCCAGCGCTACAGGGGTCGGGGAGGGGGTTGGGAATATCAAACCAATATGAACATGATGAACATCCAATTCCAAAACCATGGTCATTAATATGGAGTTCCTCCTCTTCTTCTCCTGCTGCTGTAACCACCTCCACTCTTTTGGAAAGGCTTTTTGGAGTGCGTCTCTGGGAATTTGTGCCTATTCTGCCATTTGTGCCTATTCAGTTTGAAAGAGCATTTGTAAGGTCAGGTACTGATGTTGGTTGAGATCTGGTTCATAATTGCCATTTCTATTCATACCAAAGGTGTCCAATAGGGTTGAGGTCAAGGCCCGGTGTTGGCAAATATCTTTGTATGCTGTAGCACTAAAAGCCCTCTACACTGGAAACAGATTAATTCTGTTTTAAAAGAAAACCCAACACTTATAATAAATGAAAAAGAATTCCCAGAGCACTATGATTAGTTAAAGAGTCAGTGCCACAGTAGCTGCCCACCTTAAGGCTTCTTTTGTCTGAGTGAAGCTTAGTCCTATATTGAGGGGGGTGTAACTGTGATGAAGCATTCACTTCTGTGCATAATTTCCAGTTTAAGTTATAGAGGTCTATAAACAACAGTCCTTTTCCCCACAGGCTGTAGAAAATAAAAAAAGAAGCCAAAAGCTAAACTTACTGGGAAAATACAAATATTAATATACAATATTTCATATATATATTTGCTCAGAAAAAGAAAAATATTTGTACTAATTGATTTTTATTTACAATTGACCTAAATAAATGAAGAAGAAAATATGCACACGTCCTCAATACAATCCCTTTAATGCACAGTGTAGTTTCTTCATCAGCCTGTGTTTTGTTACAGAAAGTTTGTCCAGGAATGTCCCAGTGGATTTATCACTCTGCATGAATTCCGTCAATATTTCTGTGACTACACCGTGGGAGAAAAATCTTCAGAATACGCAGAGGAGATATTCCGAGCCCTGGATAACAATGGGGTAAGTGCAGTCCCAGGTCTTCTAATCAGAGCTTTAAAGCTGAACTCCAGGCAAACAGCATAATACACAGATGATATGCATGTATAAGAGCTGTTTTACCTGCCATTTGCATTTCTCTCCACCCATTCCTAAGATTTACACAGCTCTGCCACACAGTACAGCCCTGAATGGCAGAGCAGGAGACCTGATTTTTCTCTGCTGCAGTTCAGTAACACGTACAGGTCTTATAACCTTCCCTAGTTAAAGGAGAAGCAGCAGACTAATGAGCTCATCTCTAAGTCACTATGCTCTGTCCTCCTTTTAGCACATCCCTTGTTAGCACATGAACACTGCACCACAGCTGTCCACTTGTGATGCTTCTTCCTCTCCCAATCTGAGCTCTGCTGTACACGGACTGCAAGAACGTGATACCAAGTCAGATTCAGGTACTTAAACTGCTTGTTTTCAATGAATACAGAACTGCATTAGTCTATGCCTATTATAGCTGCCTGGAATTCATCTTTAAAGGGCAACTATAATGACATTGGGTGAATTCTAGTTCCCATTTAAATGAGTACATGTTTTTACCATTTATATAAAATGTTTCGTTTAAAAAAAAAAAACATTTAATACCAGGTACACCAATGGCACAGAGCACTGTGAGTTTTCTAAAAAGAGAGCACAGCGGGAGCTGTCTGCCTTTGGACTGTATCTCTATAATAGAAACCTTGCACAACCCTTCTGAACAGAAAAGCCATGGAGGGAGAGGCAAGGATCAACTGTGTGTGAACGTTTGAACTTCAGCTATTCAGTGCTGTAAACAACAGGAGCTCCACCTACTAGAAATGTAATCCAAATGTAGAAATGAAGGCTGCTCCACCGCTAGTCTTGATATTCAACAAATTTTATTGTTCATAGTCAATCACATCTCCTGCTGGACTCTGGATTCTGCCCTCCCTCTGATACGTTTCAGCCCCCTTTGGGACTTAGTCACAGTGGTTCATTTATGTAACTAAATCAAATTAATGTTTTCTTACAAACATATTATTACATAAATATTATTTATAAAAAATGTAATGCTCTAGTCAGGAATATTATCAATAGAGAAATAAAAAGCATTATAAAAAAACGCTAAGCATAAGTGGATGGGTAAACTCAGGTTATAATCTGTTATGTTGAAGAACAATAGTGGTTCCATAAACATGCATGGTCACCAGAGTGGTTACTTTGTATACAAAAGCCATCGAAGAGTTCTTAGATTGTGCCCACATATAAAATCTATATCTGGGCAAAAGGAAATTTAATAGCTACATTGAGGCCAGCTAAGAAAAAAATGCATTTTGTGTGTGATTATCTCTTAGATGTTGAGGAACCTTATATAGTAAATGTATATGTGCAATAGTCATAGGGGGAATTTATCAAAACTGGAGCAGACAGAGTCTGGAGCAGTTGCCCACGGCAACCAATCAGTTTCCTTCTTCAGTTTGTTAACTTGAGCTATGAAAATAATAAACAAAACATGATTTGTTGCCATAGACAACGTCTCCAGATTATGTCTAGTCCAGTTTTGATAAATTCCTCCTGTTTTTGGGCACTTCATTTGAATGTACCCTATTGTATGCTATTTCCACACTGTCTGATGTTTGGGGTAGCAGGAGTACATTTTGAACAACTTAGGTCTGTTTTATGTGGTTTAGGGAGGATATATTTTGTACACTTTTCGACAGTCAAGAGCTATATAAATGATCCCTGAAAGTATAGTCTTTGGGAGGATATATTTTGGCCTAACGTATGACTGTATGCTTTTTATATAAAAGAATATATTTTTAAGAAGTAATTCTCCGGTGGTGTCGGGCATATCTATGGTAAACAGCGCCTATGGCAAGCACTGAAATTGTGCCCTGTGAAAACATCTGACACCCCAGTTCTTGCACACGCAGACACACACATACACATTAGAACTGCTGGGCCTTTGGGTTGGTGCAGGTACGGTTTGGAATAGGGAACGTACAGCATGGCATATAGAATGAGACGGTGTGTAATAGGGAACGTACAGCACTGGATATGGGATATCTTTTCACCTTTATAGAATATTAATAGAATGATGCCAGACCCATTCAGATCACCATCTCCATCCATTCAGATCTCCAATTACACCAATGCCAATCGGTCCCACGGTCCCAGGCAGGAGGAGAGGTGTTTGCTTGTAAATATGCAACCAGGGTAGAGGAATTACTTACATTACTCAGTCCCTTTACCCAGTTTTGCATTAGTGGTGCCCGAGGCATGTACCCTGTCTGCAATACCCTAGATACCCCACTGGATGTATATTCTCTCTAGATGTATATTTAATAGTAATTGGTGAAGACACCTGCCCTTGGGAATGAGAACTCCTCCAATTTAAGTGAACTCTTTGGATCCCTCCTAGTTTTTTAGTATAAGTATAGTGTCCACATATGCAGCTGCCCTCGCCGTGTGTAAGCCTCCTCCAGCTTAAAATGACAACTAAATTGACCATTAGGATTTATACTGAAGATCATCAAAGTGAACATGTAATTTACCTTTGCTGGGCAAAGTAACAGGTAACTCTCCCGTATGCAAAGACAATGTCATTTCAGAAGTTGTACTTCCTGTTCCTGTACCTACTTCAGGTACTTCCTGTTATAAAGGGATAACTCTCTGTCCCTGTCTTTCAATTATGCTCCTGTGTTGTCACCCTGTCCCACAGGCATCTGATGGAGGCTAAACGTGACAGTTTCACCACACATTATACAGACAGGGACCATTGTAGTCCCCATCAGGAAACCCACCCTGCCTTGCAGCCATCGCTGGAGTGTATGTAGACAGGAAGCGAAAACATGGATTTTTTTTTTTTTAAATGGTAGTTTTTTTCATGATACACATATTATTCATTTGGGGGTTTACATTTGCTTTCAATACCAGGTTCACTGTGACCTTATCCAAGCAGTACAAGCCCGCTATCTCCAGCAAACCTTGTCCCTTTGGGATCCAAGAACCATGAACGTACTGCCATACTAAGGACTCTCAGGAGGTAGTAACTACTCACTCCATGCATTACTATTGTTCTCTAATCTTGGCTGTAGGATGGAATTGTGGACTTCCGGGAATATGTTACAGCAATCAGCATGCTCGCACATGGGACCCCAGAGGAGAAGCTTAGGTGGTCCTTCAAGTTGTATGACAAGGACAGAGATGGAGCAATCACTCGCACTGAGATGCTGGACATCATGAAGGTTAGTGAAGATTAAAGGGAATGCTCTTGAATTCTGTTTTCAATGTGTCTTCTCCAGATCTCCCACTGGTGAAGGATGAATGTTTTGCTGCAGAGAGCTACCAGGGGTGGCTTCATGGTTTGCCCCATCATGGTCGTGACATAGGTAAAAAGCTGAGTTGTGAAGAAGCAGGATTCCAAACAGGTAGCTATAGAAGTATTACAATGGAAGCTGAGATGGCAACCAGAGTAATAGGTAACCAACCAAGGTACAAGTTGGCAGGTGAGGTCGCAGGACAACCCAGGTCAGGTGAAGGGAAACAATTGAAAAGTGTGGTCAGGCAAGCCAGAGGTCAACATTGATGATTAAGTTTAGGAACATAGGTAGATTAATCAGCATGGAGCAATAGGAAGCTTTTATCTGGTGACAGGTCCCTGTGCTGATATGCATGCACTGAGATGATTGTGTGAGTGCATGCAGCACATACACAATCAATAAAGGAGGCAAGCCACATGGGTCATTTGCCCTTACATCTGTGTCTACTAGTAGTTCTATGACAAATTAGTCCAATGGCAAAATCTGTATCTTTAAAGAGAATGTAGAAACTTAATTTTTTTTTAAATCTATCAATTTGATGTACATAATTCGACAAGGACAGAAAGTGGGGTTTTGAGAGCACCAGAGGAACTTACTCCACAAAGAAATTCATATAAAAGAGTTAATTTTAATTACATTCATTAAACACAAAGGCTAGATATACAATCCAAATTAAAATCAGCTAATTAGATAGCTCCCTGTGTGCTCTCTCCATATTTACCCTTACTACAGCATGATTAAATCATAACAAGATAAGTGCATAGTTTAGGAAACAATCTGATAAGTACAGACGATCAAGGATAAGGGATAACAATTCCTTAGAAGCTTAAATGCTGTATGGGGTTGGTAGAGGTTCATAAATGGAGGAGCTGATACGACGTTTCGCGCACCCAGGCGCTTCTTCAGGTACAGGAGGTATCTATATAATTTGTAAAATATGAAAATCATGATGAACGTTCTTAATTCTCCTTAGAGTAAAAATATAGTACATAGTCAAATTAACTTTGCCTACCAATTTATGTGCTCTGGTGTGTATATGTGTCTGGCCGGGTCTGGTCGAGCTACGCCCCTGCGTAGTCCCCCCTAAAAATAGGAGGGGTACTATGTTGGTCAATTCCCAATATTGAGTTTGAGGGGTAAACTCAATATTGGGAATTGACCAACATAGTACCCCTCCTATATATGTACTATATTTTTACTCTAAGGAGAATTAAGAACGTTCATCATGATTTTCATATTTTACAAATTATATAGATACCTCCTGTACCTGAAGAAGCGCCTGGGTGCGCAAAACGTCGTATCAGCTCCTCCATTTATGAACCTCTACCAACCCCATACAGCATTTAAGCTTCTAAGGAATTATTATCCCTTATCCTTGATCGTCTGTACTTATCAGATTGTTTCCTAAACTATGCACTTATCTTGTTATGATTTAATCATGCTGTAGGAAGGGGACATATGGAGAGAGCACACAGGGAGCTATCTAATTAGCTGATTTTAATTTGGATTGTATATCTAGCCTTTGTGTTTAATGAATGTAATTAAAATTAACTCTTTTATATGAATTTCTTTGTGGAGTAAGTTCCTCTGGTGCTCTCAAAACCCCACTTTCTGTCCTTGTCGAATTTAAATTCTAGGGGTGTGGCACCTACTATTCGGACCCAGATCGAAAACCATCGTCTATATTTAATTTGATGTACATAATCATCAGTGTGTGTTAATGTTCTAAAAAACTTACTGCTATGTGTAATTTGTAATTATATGTGCATGGGCACTCCTACACTTTTCGCTTCCTGAGGTGGGTCGACCTTATTATAGGGACGGTCCTGTGTATATGTACATGGGGGCAGACATATTTGCATATTATATACTCAGGCTTCGATTTCTGCAAGCAGTCCACTGACTGTGCCTAGTCTATGGTAGCACAATCTGATTGCTGCAAGCAGGAGGAAGCATTTCCTCAGTTTCCTCTCCCCCAGTGGTTGAAATGCAGTAATTAAAAGCAAATTAAGACAAATAGGCACCCGATAATACATGCATTACAATGAGTACACAGGGAATTTAGTTTTTTTCTGGTTAGATAAGAGTTCTGTTTAGATGAATTCTAAAGAGAAAACTTCCAGGTACAGAGAGTTCTGTACCTGGAAGTTTTACACTGACACATTACTTAGCATTCATGGTATAAGCATAAAAAAAAATATATGATGCTTGGTCTACTTTAATGTTTTTCTGATTCGTTATTTCCACCAAGTCGTCCAAGTGACTTTTCCATGTTCATGTACAGGCGGTATATAAAATGAGTCTTGCAGCGTCCCTCACGAAGATCAACCCCATGACTGCCGAGGAATGCACTAATCGCATCTTCATCCGTCTGGACAAGGATCACGATGGTAAGAGTAACAGAAAAAAATTGTTACATTAAAGCTGAATGCCAAACTCGGTATATAATATATAAATTTTTATATGAAAAATCTTAATAATGCCATCAGAGTCTTGACAAGTATCGTTCAAATTTTCTTTTGCCATTAACAATCAATTTTGGAATGAATTGGAACTTCCCAATCTGAAGCCTGTACTGTATATGTAGTGTACTGTGCACTGTAAAGACAAATTGGCGGCTGTAATAATCTTATATTTCGATTTCTTCTGCTTTCCAGCCATCATCAGCCTTCAGGAATTTGTAGACGGCTCTCTGGATGATGAGTGGGTTCGAGAGATGCTGGAATGTGACCTCAGCACAGTGGAAATCCAGAAGATGACAAGATACAGCCATTTGCCCCCCAGATCGTCCAGGGAGAGACTATTTAATACCAATCCATAAACTTGTTATTATTGTTATCTCTTCCTTAAAACCCAAATGTTGCGAACATCGCTCGGGGCACACAGCCTACCCACAGAGCAACTCGAAGGCTCATTCCATCATCTTCTCCTTAATCTCTATGCTTGTCTGTGTACTGAATTACTTAAGGGCCATGGAAAAAAAAAACCTGCAGTCTCTGCGTGTTCCCAGGTTCTAAGCACTTCCTCGGAAATGGGAGGTTACAGAGCACATAGTCATGTGACAAGAGGTTGCAGACCTGCTTAGCAGCACTGTGAATTCCAGCTGAATCTATCTGATTATATGTATATTATATACTGTATATTGATTATATAAAACTCGGATTGACTTGACTTTCTGACTTCAAATATATGTCAAGCCAAAATCTTTGTTTCTTAGTTTTAGATTTAAGGCATGAGCGATTGTCTCTTTTTATCATTGTTAGTTTGCACAGTAAATTACCTTAAGGCCCCATTCACACTGCGCGATTCGCAAATCGTGTGTTTGTCGCGCGATTGGAATTTTGCGTGATAACGCACGATTTGTCACGCGACATCGCACAAATGCTTGCATTGAGCAAGCTAGAATCGCGGCAAAATCCGCTCCAAAAAGGGTCCTGCTGTAGCCACGCGCGACCCGCGACAGCAGGACCCTTTGCCCCAAGAAAAGCTGAAGGATTGACAGATATTTATAATCGAAGTGTATGTTAAGCCAAATGTGTTTTTTTTTAAATCTTTGGATAGAGGATTAGAACCCCTATCGGGTTTTTACTGCTTTCCCAGGCTCCGTTTGAGAGATTTCCCCTTACTTCCTGTTGTGATGGCAATGTTCTGCCAGACAGGAAGTGAGGGGAACTCTCCAACAGCAATGCAGACAGAAATAAAAATGCTTTATTTTTAAATTCTTTATTTTATATTTTAAATACCTTGACGGTGTTCACAAAAAAGATAGACAAGTGCTTAAATAACAAATAGTTGCTTGTTCAAGCGATCATAGAGAGAGTATTTCAAATGCATTGCGATATATATAATAAAAATAAACAAATAAAATATTTAAAGCATTTAGGAGGGAAGAAAAAAAAAAAAAGGGGGGGAAGATATTCCCCCTGCTCAGCTGGTCAGTGACCCACAAATATCTCAGAAGGGGGGCATGTAAGTGTTCAAGTGCTTATGGGAACAACTGTGAATTCCAGGAAGGTGTGTGGGAAAAGGAAGGGGCTTCTGACCCTAAGTGAAATGACATCCTGTCAATAACATGCAAAAAAAATAAATATCGTTTTTAAAACTTTGCACAGCAAAACAAACCATATAAAAAAATATAATATATATATAAACCCCATACAAAACATCGTGTTAGGCAAGTGAGTCAGTCGGTTGTGTGGGTTGAGGGTTGAGAAAAAAAGAAAAAAAAAAAAGAAAGACAGAGGGGAAAGAGAAAAAAAAAGTATAAGGGGGGAAAGGGGAGGGGGGCATGCGGGATAAATGGCCTGGTATTTACTAGGTCGCTTGAGATAAAGAAAAATAATAATAGGACAAGTAGT